TTTTTTTTTTTTTTTTTTTGTCCTGAGATTCCTGTTTTCTTCTTAAATAATCCTATTGTTTTTGCAAATTGGGTGGCTTTATATGGGAACTGTCACTTTAAAAAATGTTCAACTGTGAAAAATGCTGAAATTATATCTAGATACTGCTAATATTTACTCCATAATTGATTTAATCAGGTAGTTATCACCGTGCATCACATTGTGGACAGGACATCTGTGAATTACGTTTATCAGTAGCACGTGGGTCAAGTACGAAAATACCTCATGATTGTGAGGTAAGTGTTGGTAACTTCTAAATGTCAAATTGGTTTGCTAATGAAAATCCTGCCCAGTGATAGCTCAGATGCCATACTTATATCCTATTATAAAGAACAACTTAGTTGTAGTTGTTGATCACTATTGACCTTTTAATGCAGTCGTTTCAAATAAAAATGCATTTTTTAAATCTTTTTTTTCAGTATTATTTGCATATGGGGTCTTAACCTTATTTGGTGTGCAGTAAATGTGTTTGTTCAAGTAAATAACGGTAAGAGATTAACTTTGTAATGAAGATAACTTGAATCATGGCTTGAGTTTTTCCTAACTTTAGTCCCATCCTTGCACACAGATGCTTAGATCAACTATGGTGATGCTTTTGTTTTGGCTGGCTGGCCTGTCAGCTTTGGTCTGCCAAAACTCAAAATAATACAACTTGTTAACTGTTAACAGTTCCTCCATAGTTCACAGGGAAATTCATAATGTAGTGATTCTCAGGCAGGGTCCCATGGTATCCTTTTAAAGGTGCTGCGCAATATTAGCACCAATAGGTGTGCCAGATACCCACCACGCATTATTTTCAGGATAAACACAGATATTTCAGGTAGGAACCCATGATGTCCAAAACATTCTGGCCTGTTGTGGTCTTCGAGTTCATTGCAACAGAAGAGTTCCTCTAGTATTTTTCCACAATCAAAAAATATGTGAAAGATAAGAAGTGGCATTTTTCAAGTGAAGTCTTGAATCTAAAAAGTTTTAAAACTACTGCCATAGTGACTTAGTTTACTGCAGTGCAAAGAACCATAGAATATGTCCCAGAAGCCTAGTTGCTACATGTGATTAGGTGGGATTACAGCAGGATAAATAGTTGTTGGGGGGGTTGTTTTTTTGCAAAGTGGTTACTCTTACTTGAGTGTTAATTTTTTTTAAGAAAGCCATACTCTTAAAGCAGTATCTACACTTAAGATCTGATAATCAGTTAAGTCTTAAATTGTCACCCAGCCAGCTGTTCAATCAATTAATGCTGTGATGGAAGGAGGAATAAGCCACAAAGTTATTACATATATTTTTGTGGAATAACTTTGTGGTGTGTTACTATCACACCATTAATTAAGTGATCAGCTGGTATGGTCAGGCTACAGCCCTGTGCCTTGCTGTGGTCACAAAACT